AAAAAGGTAAAAGGTGGATCTCCCAGGACATAATTCCCTATAGTTTGGATACAGGAAAACATTCTGGGCAGTTTTAGGGTGAGGAAATGTAAGCTCGGTGATGTGACTTCCAGAGCTGTAAAAGGGATAATCCAAATCCAGATGTCCTGTGGTTATTTGCCTTATCTGGAATTATCAATATATCTAGATTGCATGTTTGCTTAATTTCAGACTGAAGAAGTTGGTAAAATTCTTCAATATCATCATCATTGGCTTTAGTGGTTAGTGCATAAATTTGAATAATAGTAACATTATCTGGTCTTCCTTGTAAGTATATGAATATTTAGTCTATCACAGACAGCATTGTACTTTTAGACAGATCTTGACATGCTCTTTTTGATGATAAATGCACACCATTCTTCTTCAATTTGTCATTCTCAGCATAGTAAACTATGTGATTGTCAGATTCAAAATGGCCAATATTCAAAATTCCATTTCAGCTCACTAATGCCTGGGATATAGATGTTTATGTGTTCCATTTCATTTTTGACAGTTTAAACTTTTCCTAGATTCATACTTCTTATATTCCATGTTCCAATTATTAATGGATGTTTACAGCTATTTTGCTTCATTTTGAGTTGTGCCCCATCAGCAAATGGAGGTCCCAAAGGATTTACTCCATTCGCATCATCACTGTCAGCTCTACTTTGAGAAGGCAGTTGTTCCCCTGTCATATTGGGTGTCATCCAACTTTAGTGGCCCATCTCCTGGCACTATATCTGAAAATGATATGGTGCTCTTCTTCATGTTTCTATATTCAATAATCTGGTGCTGACAGTGTTCCACTGCTATTCATAAGGTTTTCAATGACTAAATATTTGGAAGTAGTCCATCTCTCCTTCTTTCTAGTCTGTCTTCATTTGGAAGCTCATCTGAAACCTGTCCACCTTGGGTGACCCTGCTGGTATTTAAAATATCTATGGCATACCACCCAGAATCACAGCAACTCACAAGCCACCACAGTACTTCAAACTGACAGATGAGTGCTAGGCATTTTTAGATGACATTATCTCCCACAAATAAATAGAAAGAAAGAAATTTAAAAAATAATAATAATAAAAAGCCTTTCTATTTCTACTCTAGAAAATTGTTTCACAAAATATCATACAGGGACTTCTGCTACAGAATTTCCAGGGAATTTGTAAAAATGCATATTCCTTAGCATACCCCCAGACTGGCTGCATTAGAATGTCTGAGAGACGTTGTTGTTATATGTCATAGAGTCATTTCCTACTGATAGTAACTTTGTGCAACAGAATGAAGCAGTGCCTGGTCCTGTGATATCCTCACAATCAGGATATTTGAGTCCATTGTTGCAATCAAGTGTCAGTCCATCTCACTGAGAGTCTTCTTTTTCACTGATTTTCTACTTTAGCAAGCATGATGGCCTTCTCCAGGAACTGCTCCTTTCTGATAACATGTCCAAAGTATGTAAGACAAAGTCTAACCATTCTTCCTTCTTAAGGGCATTCTGGATGTATCTAACTATACTTCTTCCAGATCATATTTGTTCACTCTTCTGGAAGTCTATGACATACTCAATATTCTCCATCAACACCATAATTCAAAGGTATCAATTTTTCTTCAGTCTTCCTTATTCTCTGTCCACCTTTTGCATGCATATGAGGCAATTGAAAATGCTATGTCTTGATCACATTCACCTTAGGCCTCAAATTCACATCTTTGCTTTTGAACATTTTTAAAGAGATCTTTTGTGGAAGATTTACCCAAGGCACTACATCTTTTGAAGGCTTTAAGGCTGCCTCTATTGGCTTTGATTGTGGATCCAAGTAAAATAAAAGCATTTCTCATGTATCATGATGTTGCTTATTGGTCCACTTGGGAGGACTAGTTTCTTTATGTTGAGGTGTAACCCGTATTGAAGGCTGCAGTCATTGATCTGCATTCATATATGCTTCAAGTCCTCTTCACTTTCAGCAAAGTTGTGTCATCTGCATATCGCAGGGTGTTAATGAGTCAGGATTCAACTCTTGTGCACACTTTTCCTGACTTTAAGCCGCATTGTATCCCCTTGTTTTGTTCCAAGTTTTGCCTCTTGGTCTACACACAGGACAGGTTTCACGGGAACACAATTACCCAAAACCAAAAAACCAAGCCACTGCTGTCAAGTCAATTCCTTTTGTGACCTATGGGGCACAGTACAGTTGTTCCATAGGGCTTCCGAGACTGTAAGTCTTGACAGTAAACCTCATCTTTCTCAAGCTGAGTAACTGGTAGGTTTAAACTGGGGACTTCGCAGTTAGCAGTCCAACACTTAACCCATTGCACCACCAGGGCTCATTGAGCACACTTAAATGTTCTGGAATTCCCTTTCTCTGTAATATTTACTATGACCCACACAGCTGAATGCCTTTGCATAGTCAACACAAGTAAATATTCTGGTATTCTCTGCTTTTAGCCAAGATCCATGTGACATCAATAATACTATCCCTCATTCCACATTCTCTTCTGTATCTAGTTTGAATTTCTGAATCTTTTTACAATCACTTATTAAGTAGGAAAATTAGTAACAGACATCTTACTTTTGGTTGTAAGGTTTTCTAATTCAGGAAACCAAATGTGAAATGTAAAAAGCCTGACCCAAATTGCAAAATTCTTGCCAGAAATTGGCTATTCAATAGCAAAGTAAATTTGTTTTAGCCTGCTAGAACCCCCACCCCCACCCCCCATCATCTCCTAATTTAAATCTCAAAAGGTCTTCTTGGATGTAAATGAATGGAGGGCCAGATTATTAGCAGGGAGGCCAGAAGTAACCTGACACCAGTGGATTGCAGTAAAGGGAGGGAAACAGAGATTAGTCAATCACATTAAGATTAGCCAATGACATAACATAGTCCACAAAAGACAACAGTCTACATCCTACTTTTGTGAGCAACAACTGGGGTTTTAAAAGCTCAGGAGCCAGTCATCTAAGGTAAAACTATTGATCGGTCTTTCCCTGTTGAGAAGGAAAAAAAATTGAAGATGCCTGGAAAGAGTCCAGTGGAGTAATGGACCCCGTGAACATCAGTCTCCAAGATTCTGAGACAAGAAGAATTAGATGGTGCCCGGTTACCACTATCACCTGTCGCAAAAGGGATCGCATTAAAAGGTCCTAGATAGAGTGGGAGAAAATGTGGAACAAAAGTCTAAATTATTTTTTAAAAATATCAGGCTTACTGGTCAAAAAGAGACTAGAGGAACCTGAGCCCATGACCGTTGGTCACTCTTAAGGTCTAACAGAACTCACCCTCATGACTCAATCTTCAATCAAGCAGTAAATAGGTAGATAAGGTGGACAACTAGTGAGGTATGCACACCATAGAATGGTTAATCATTCAAGAGCAAATGGGCAGCATTTATCCAAGGACAAAATTCCACAAGGGTTAGGAAAGGAGGAGGAAGAGAAGAAACAAGAATCACAGAAAGAAAGTGGAATAGGTGATGTTACACTGAAGGGATTGCATTCATTGAAATGAAATGAGGTAGATGATTTGTTGAATGTAAAATTGATGATCTTTTCTGAAAGGCTTTACTCAATCCATAAGGAAAAGTTAAGATAAAAAAAGATTAGACGATAGATAATTGTCTATGTTTCCCTAGCTGTAAAGTCAGCAGTTCAAATCCTCTAGCTGCTCTGTGGCCGACTGATGAAACCATCTACTTCCATAAAGATTTATAGTCTAGGAAACCCTATACAGGGTCTCTATGATTTGAAACTGACTCAGTGTCAAGGGGTTAGGTTTGGGTTTTGTTTTTCTCTTTATAAACCTCATTATACGTAGCTTCTTGGAGCCACTTGCTTATATATATTTTTTGGAACAAAACCTACCTCCTTATAATAACTGCTCACAATAAACCTTATGTTCCTATTATGATGAGTTTGGATTACTTTTAACACACTCAAAACAGTTTTAAAATCAGCCTAGTCAGGATTCTATTGGTATAAAAGGTGGAGCACAAAAACTCAAACTTTGTAAAATATGCCCAAGCCTTGCAAATGGAAATGTGAGAACACACTTTTAGAACTTAAGTTACTTATTTAACTAAATAAGGCAAATGACTTTCTTAATTAGGATAAAAACTGGACTGTGAACCCCAGGGTCGGCAGTTGGAGTCCACTAGCCGCTCTGCGGGAGAAAGATATAAAGCTTTCTGTTCCTGTGAAGGTGTCCAGCCTCAGCAACCCTATACAAGGTTGCTATGAGTCAGAACCAACTCCACAGCACTTAACAGCAACATCAAACACAAATTTGTCTTTTTTGTTTCTTAGAATAAATTCATTCTCTCTGGGGGTCTGTCCTGGCATGATGGAGGGCTATTTCAATCAGACTTAAGCCAAGTCTCCTGGGATCTGTGTATGACTGGCGAGGTGGGGTGGGGCGACTGTGGAAAAGAAGAAGGAAAAGGATGAAATCACATGACATATTGGCAAGCTTACCTCTCTGCTTTCACATCTCTTCATGGCTCATTCTAACCAGCTCTTGTGCTCCTGAGGGAACAGGGAAAGCTGGGATATCCTTTATCTTTCTTAGTGTCTCTAACAACTAAGAAAGGGACACAGAGAAAGTGCCCAGTCAAAGTTCAGGGGGTGGCTATTTAAGTCTGCCCAGAACAGGCGAGAACTGAAACATAACTAAAGTGCAATAGCCATATCCCACTCCACCCTCCTTTCATTCATCTGACTTCCTCTTTTATATGAGGAGGCTTCAAAAAGTCCATGGAAAATTCCATTCTGTTTTCATTCCAATTTTCCACAAACGTTTTGAAGCCCCCTTGTGTATCTGCTCAAACAGTGTAAGGGATGTGCTTTATGGGTTCCCTCACAGACCATTGCTATATAAAGATCAGTCTAGAAAGTGAATGAAAAATGACTCTTCGTCTGCCTAAGAAGACTTAGGATGTAATGCTTGGCAGGTGCACATCAGAGTAACCACCTTTATTATTTTCTCCACAGTGAGATCACTAAGAATTCCCTGAAGAAAATCCTTCTTCAGCTGAAATGCCATTTCACATGGAACTTAAATGAAGAAAGTGCTACGGATGATCTAGAAGACAGAGTGTGTAACCAGATTGAATTCTTAAACACTGAGTTCAAAGCTACTATGTACAATCTGTTGGCCTATATAAAACACCTGGATGGTCAAAACGAGGCAGCCCTGGAATGCTTGCAGCAAGCTGAAGAGTTAATCCAGCAAGAACATGCTGATGAAGCAGAAATCAGAAGTCTGGTCACATGGGGAAACTATGCCTGGGTCTACTATCACATGGGCAGGTTCTCAGAAGCACAGAGATATGCAGACAAAGTGAAACAAACCTGTGAGAAGTTTTCAAATCCTTACAGTATTGAGTGTCCGGAAATTGACTGTGAAGAAGGATGGACATGGTTAAAGTGTGGAGGGATGCATAATGAAAGGGCGAAGGTATGTTTTGAAAAGGCTCTGGAAGAGAAACCCAACAACCCAGAATTTGCCTCTGGACTGGCAATTGCAGTGTACCGTTTGAATGACAAACCACAGAAGCAGTTCCCTTTTGAAACTTTGAAGCAGGCCATCGAACTGAGTCCTGACAACCAATATATTAAAGTTCTCTTGGCTATAAAACTTCTGAAGATATTTAAAGAAGCTGAAGGGGAGTCCTTAGTTGAGGAGGCCCTGGAGAAAGCGCCTTACCAAACAGACGTCCTTCGCAGTGCAGCCAAATATTACAAATTAAAGGGTAACCTAGACAAAGCTATTGACCTGTATCTAAGGACACTGGAAGCCACACCAAACAATAGTCACCTCTTTTACCAGATTGGATGCTGCTACAAGAAAAAAATCACACAGTTGCAGAACACAGAAGAATCTATAGCTATTGGGCATAGAGAAAAGATTGAAGAACTAAGGGAATGTGCTATAGAATATTTAAAGAAAGCTCTTGATAGGAAAGTAAATGATCCTTTCATATACACCAATCTTGCTGAACTTGTAGCACAAAAAGGTCACTACAGAGAAGCAAAAGAATATTACAAGATAGCGTTGGATAAGGATGTTGAGAGGGAGCAACTCCATCAATGCTTTGGCAACTTTCAGGAATATCACATGAAGTCTGAAGATACTGCTGTGGAACATTATTTGGAGGGTTTGCAGATAAGCAAACATTCATCAGAGAAGGAAAAGATGAAATGCCAGCTGCAGGACATAGCTGAAAAACCGCTTTCACAAAATGCACCAAATTCTTGGTATCACCAAGGATTCGTTCACAAGATGAATGGAGATAAGCTGCAAGCAGTGGAATGCAATGAGAAGGGCCTAGGTTGCCTACTAAAAAGCAGTCCTTCAGGTACAGGCAGCGTATTCCTTCTAGAATCGGAGCTTGAGGAGGGCAAGGAGGAGAAGAGTCAGAGCACATAGAGCTCCACTCTCAGAGAGCTCCCCAACCCCTGAACTGAGATAAAGAAGAAAGAAAACAAAACCAGAGGTTCCTGAGGAGAGAGGGGTGGAAAGGCATGGGCCTCAACTTGGCAGGGAGGCGGTGGGGTTGAGCAGAATAGTTTTAATTGCTGCTTTAAGGTATACTTTTAGAATAGCCATAAGTTTACCCAATCAGAAGGTTTTGTAACTAACTACTCACAGAAATTGTGCATGAGGCCTGCATGATGCTAATTACTCTACATTTGCATTTGGGTCACCAGAGGAACCCCATTTCTGCCTTTCTTGTCAAAGGCCATGCATAGTGAAAGTCTACCAACAGCATCTTCAATCAGACTCCTGTCATCCCATTTCCATGCAGCCCTCTGGGATTCCTTGAAGACTAGCTTTTAACTAACTCTAGAATCAACAAGGAGTCCTGGTGTGGCATTGTGGGTTAATGCGCTGGACCGCAAAGTCAGTTTGAATCACAAGTCAAGGTCAGTGGTTCAAGTTCACCAGCGGCTCCTCGGAAACCCTATACAGGGTCACCGTGAGTTGGAATCAACTCAATTTGATGGCTCTTAACAACAACAGAATAGACTTATGTCTTGTTCCTGGCTTTGTTGCTGTTGTTGTTAAGTGCCATCAAGTTGGTTCTGACCCACAGCGACCCTATATAGGGTTTCCAAGGAGCAGCTGGTTTGCTTGAACCACCGACTTTGCAATTCAAATGACTTTGCAGTCTGGTGCATTAACCCACAACACCACACCAGGACTCCTGACTTTAGCCATAGTGTTTATTTGTATTCCTGACAATAATATTAAATATGTATTCTGGAGCATAATGTTACAATAAATTTAAACTTTGAAACTCAGAATAGAGGTAATTGTGTGGTTTGTGGGAATGTGTTATTAAGACAGGAATATAAATTCCCAAAGTCTCCCTGCTACAACCTAACCATACTATTCTCAACATGGTCATCTCTGCTCCACAGGCGTTGTTTACACCATGTATGCACAGAAAATCCTGTTTCCCAAAGTCTTCTCAACCTCTACTGAACTCTGAGCGTGAGACCAAAATTATCCACATTCCAATTATATTAAAATGCCCATCCACATCCACAGCTGATGACAACATTAAGCGTGCATGTAAAATGATTCTGTCAAATAGACGAGTGGCTGTGGATTATGTGGCAAATCATTTGCCAATCAACCATGGCCCTGCCTATGGAATAATCCACAACAGACTTGGGTTTTCAAAAGTTTGTGTGAGGTGGGGACTGAAACAACTCATGGAAGTGCATAAACACAAACATTTGGACATCTGCAAACAAAATTTGAACCGATAGTCAAAAAAAGTAAAAGTTTCTTTAAAAAAAAAATCATTACTAGTAATGAGACACAGATTCATCACTACAAGCATGAGAGTAAATGGCAGAGCATGGAATGGAAACATCCTTAATAGCCAACCAAGAAAAAGTTCAAAAGTCAGCCATCGGCTAGAAAATGGATGCTTATAGCTTTCTGGGATTCTCAAGGGCCAGTATTGGAACACTATCAGAAAACAGAAAGGTTCAGCAATCAACAGTGTTTGTTACTCACTGAAGAGCTGAAGTCTAAACTTCAGATTCAACACAGAAGACTGCTGTCCGAGGGCATTGTGATCTTGCATAACAATGCGCAACCACATAGCTCTGCCCACACTGTTGACACTCTTCAAGAACTTCTTTTTGAGGTGTTAAAACATTCTCCTCCATATAGTCCTGATCTTGCTCCACTGGACTTTCATGTGTTTGGTCCCCTAAAAGCAGCCCTTAGAAGACAAAGATTCACCTCTGATGAAGAAGTGAAGACAGAGGTGCATTCCTGGCTCGCAGCTCAGCCTGAAACATTTTTTAACAAGGGAATTTAAAAGCTTGTCGACAGATAGACAAAGTGTATTGAAAAGCAAGAAGATCATTTCGAGAAATTATATATTTGTCTTTTCTAAAAGTTGGTTAAAATAAATTCTATAGCCAGAATGTGGCTATAGAAGTTTTGACTCACCCTCATACTTTAAGGCCTGTCGTCATGCTTTCCTAATATGTAACCTGATTGTCTGAATACAGAGGGAAAATGTCAAATACCTCTAAGATGCCAGATCCCAGATAAGGTAAATACTGGCATTCCCATCTAGTTTCTGAATGGAGAGCAAGAAATTTTATTTTATATAGTGAGAGAGTCCTGGGAAGCTGCTTAATAGATGTTGTTGGTTGTTGTGTCATTAAGTCCATTCCGATTCATAGCAACCCTGTACATGGTTTCCAAAGAGCGCTGGCAGACCTTGTGGCTAGCAGCCCAGTGCTTACCCTACAACGACACACCTGGAGCTGAAAACTTGAGTGAAGAATGCCCTCTGAAGTATCCGCTGGCTTCATCAGGGTTGGGGGAACTCCCAGGTATTCAGCAGTGAATTACAGATTTCAGGCCTGTCTGGGCCTGAAGCAACATCGTCCCTTATGTCTAGTTCCAGAGAAGTTGGCTGGACCCCTCTAGGGAATATTACAATGAACACTGATATTAAGAGTCTGGCTGGGGGAGGTGAGAGAGGGAAGATTTGAGGGGGACAAGTCATCTTCCACCCTCAAAAATGATTGCAACTCTGAAATAGGTGGGAAACTGCCTCTCTGTATGCAAACACACATGCTCAAGGAAGCAAAGAGTTTTAACATTAGTGGCTCTGGGCAGCTGCCCTGTCAGGAATTCATGGTCTGTATCCACTGGAAATACAGACAACTGGCTTATAGAAGAGTTGTTGTTAAGTACCGTGGAGTCAGTTCCAACTCATAGTGACCCTGCACAGGGTTTCCGAGGCTGCAAATCTTTACGGGAGCGAAAGTATATACCGTTCAATCCTGTCCCTCTACTCTCTGAGTCCTATTCATTCTCCAGGCGATATTTAGGTTGCACAGAAAATACAATTAGCTGGACTTGGCCTGTATACCTCGACTGTGTTTTATTTTGCTGTCTGGTCGGTTTTTTGTTTTGTATTTTTTAAATTTCCTCTGCATCTAGTCTACTTTGAATGAGTTGTTGTTGTTAAATGCTGTCGAGTCGATCCCGACCCATAGCGACCTTATACAGGGTATCCGAGGAGCAGCTGGTGAGCTTGAACTGCCAACCTTGCAGTTCAAACTGCTTTGCAGTCTGGTGAATTAACCCACAGGGCCACACCAGGAATGAGTAGATACCCCAAACTTGTACTTCCTGGTGTGTAACCCTATCTCAAACAGCTCTACCTCAGAGGGAATCCCACCAGCCACTGGCTTTCATAGTCACCTGTTCCGTTTTTTGCTATCAGAGAGCATATTCAGCCTTACCCAATTTATGATGATGACTTCGCACTTCCAGATAGATGGTAACTACTTTACCTGAGCTCTGGTAACATAGTGGTTACGAATGGGGCTGCAAACCTCAAGATTAGCAGTCCGAAACTACCTGCTGTTCTGCGGGAGAAAGATGAGGCTTTCTGCTCCCGTAAAGCTTTACAGCCTCAGAAACCCTGTTCAGGGTCGCTATGGGTAGGAACTGACTCGACGGCACTTAACAACAAGGTTACCATCAGTGTCTATGAAGCAGCTTGTCTGGTGACCATATGATCTTTAATAGCAGATGGCAGGCCTCCACAGATGAGACTACAGGGGGCCTAGGGACTAATCTTCAGAGATCTCTTCCCCTCCAGTATACCAGCTCCAAAGAGGCAGCTCCATCTGCTTGTATTACTGAAACTCCATGAATCCATGTACCTGAATTCCAGGGAGAATTTGAGCACTTTGTCAGTTTGAAGAAGTTAAGTAAAAAATCTGTAGACCTAAATTTGTAATATAAATCCATGACCAGTTTTTCTTTAAAATACAATCAACCTTCTGATTTTAACATTTTTCATGGAGGAATTTGGGTGAAGGGCACACCCCTCTGTGGACTCTATGTATTAGTTTGCAGCTTCCAGTGAGTCTACAATTATTTCAGTTGCTAAAAAAACAAACTCAACTTCATATACTTTACATTTACATAAATTTAAAACTTGAAATGTTAGTACTGACTTTCGTTGCAGTAAGCCAGATTGTGTGGTAGAAAGATGAGGCTTTCTGCTCCTGCAAAAGATTTATAGCTTCAGAAACTTTTTACAGGATCACTATGAGTCAAAACTCACTCAACAACACTTAACAACAAGCCAAACTGAATCACAGTGGACTGAGTAGAACCTTGGAGATTCATGAGAAGATATAAAACTCAGTGGACCATTCACAACAAAGAACTTGTGGTATCTAAATACTTTTTTCAGGAACGTGATTAGAAGTCATTTGGAAATCTCAAAAAGCAAGAGCACACTTTTTAGAATGTGGTAAAAATATTTGAAACTATTTCTTTCCATGTCATTCTGTGGATTCATATGAGACCGAGGGTTAACTGTCCACTATGCAGGTGGGGAGACTGTTGTTGTTAGGTGCATCAAGTCAGCACCAACTCACAGCGACCCTAAGCACAACAGAACAAAACACTGCCCAGTCCTGGGCCAACCTCACAATCGTTGTCACACTTGAACCCACTGATGTTGCCACTTTGCCAATCCATCTTGCTGGGAGTCTTCCTCTTTTTCTCTGACCCTCCACCTTTCCAAACATGACATCCTTCTCCAGTGACTGGTCCGAAGTATGAGAAATGAAGTCTGGCCATCCTGGCCTCCAAGGAGAATTCTGTCAGTGCTTCCTCCAACACAGATCTATTTGTTCTTTTGGCAGCCCATGGTATTTTCAATATTCTCCTTCAACACCATAACTCAAATGCATCAAGGAGACTAGGAACAAGGAAATGAAGATACTTGATTTTGGACTTCACAGAAAGGAAATGCATCTGGTTTTGAGTCCCAGATCACTCAACTTGAGAATTCTAGACACACAATAGACCGAGGACAGTTCAACCCAGGTGTAGATAAAAATCACATGAGGATTCCTTGGTCCTATTAAGACCTGGGACCATTCCCATCGATGTAT